AGTCGGCGAAGCGGGAACGAAGAAACAAGAATTGTCAGCAGGAGGGAACACAGGAGCATCTGGAGTAACGGAGGCTGAGAACAGGGTAGGTTTAAGAAAGGAGGAAAACAGCGGAACGCAGAGCGAAGAATGGACGAACACAGAAAGCGGGGAAACAGGCGAGATGGAGACAAGTGCTACATTGAGCGAAACACTAAGTAAAGAAGAAGAATCGTCAGTAGGAGAGAACACAGAAGCATCTGGAGTTACGCAGGGTCAGATCGCGGCATGTTTGACAAGGGAGGAGAACATCGGAAAAGAGAGGGAAGAATCGACGAACACAGGAGGAGCGAAACAAATGAGGTGGAGAGAAGTGCAGCAGGCAGCGAAGCAGACGAAAGAACAACAATGGTTAGCAGGAGGGAACACAGGAGTATCTGGATGAGGGGGATAGCGACATCGGAGAGTGAAATACCCTGGACTTTCTTGATTGCAGCTAGTGCTGGGAGCGGATCTGCGTGAGAGACGTCGCTTGTTGTATCCTCAGAAAAGGCAGAAAATACGAGAGGGCAGAAAGAGATCTGCACGACACAGATGATTTCCGCGTGGCCCGGAGAAGTGAGTGAAGAAGTTGATCATACAGAGGTGGGTGAGACTGACAGAGGAGAAGGAACGCACACGGAGCAGATGTATTGAGAGGGCCGTCCGTACATCGATAAAGTGACGGACGAATTTGAAAGAAGATGCGAGCATTGTACTGCAGATTCGTTTCCCGTTTAAACTTCTACTTCAGCTTCGATTTCGTAAGCGGTGAAAACGGCAAAAGGACAAATCAGAAGTCGATGTCTACACTGTATTTACGAGGTAGGAAGCCGAGCGCGAATAGTTTTGTGAATACTGTGCGGGGAATTTGAGGGGAAAATAGAGAGCCACGAGGATTTAAGTCGGGATCAGTAAACGCAATACTTCGTAAGGTGTCGGGACGACGCCATGAGGAACGGCGAGAACGACTGCATCGGGAAATCATACCTATGCCAGAATCAGGATTACCGTAAGCTCATGGAAGCAAAATTTTAAAGAACGTGCGGATTCTGCAAATCCATTGAAGAAGAAACAACACAAGCAAGCGAATCGTTAAAACACGTTCTAATTTCAGCTTCTAAAATGTGTCGGAAATTAGCGCACGGGAATGAATAGATTTTCTTGCCGTTAAACGTTGAAATCTCGCTGACTTAGTAGCGGGCTATGTAACAGAGAGACAGAATTTTGTAGTCCTCATCAAAAACACGAAACTGAAACTTCTCCAACTTTTCAGAAGATGTTTTTTGCAGAGTGTGAAGGCAGCGCTATGCGTAACGGCATAAACGACTGCATCACGAAGCCATATCTTTGCGAAAACGAGGATTACCGCAAAGTCATGGGAGCTATATGCCGCAGAACATGCGGATTCTGTGGATCTGGTAAAGAAAAAACGGCAGAATTAGGCAAGTTTTTCGGACGCGTTAGTTATGGTCGTGGAGAGGTTTTGAGTTGTTCCTCACTAGGAGTGGTCAATGTTCTGTTTGTTAAGAAGTTGTAGGTGGTCCTGTAGTCTGGAGAGGACGGTGGAGTGGTTGAGGAAAAGTGCCTCCGAAGTCGGTGGTGGAGGAGAGCGGAGGGCGTGTATCAGGTTGTACAAAGACTTTGCGAGAGATCGCGAGAGCGACGTTATAAAGGATTTTGGAATTGACTAGGTCAGGAGATCATGCCTTTATCATAAGTGAAAACGCTGTGGGCTTTTGGAGGAGGGTTTCGGAAGAAAATGCGGTTTTGCTCTGTTTTGCGAGGAAGAGGAGAGCTAAGAGAGTGTTTTAAATAGCTGGTGACAGTAGTTCAAAGAGGAGTATGGCAAAATTTTGTGGTGGTGTAGTCAGTTTGCGGCTTGGTGACGTCGCTTCTTTAAAGTCGTTTGGTTACGGAGAGCGAATACGAGGATACGATGAGTGGAGAGACCGACTGTGTAAACAAATCTCATCTTTTTCAGACTGCCGACCTCCGTAGTCTAATGAAAAAAAAAATGCGTTAAAACATGCGGTTTCTGCGAATCATTTGAAAATAGACGACGAAACTAAGCATCTTTCTAGATGATATTTCAATTTTAGTTTTGTGAACAGCATGGTAAAATTCTACTAAAAAAAGCAAGGCATTCAGTTTTCGCTTCATTCAGACTACATGGGGGAAGGTCATCCAAGCTAATATGGAACTGTAAGGCTGAGGTTGAAGTGATTTGCTGATCGATACGTGAAAAAAAGAGGAAGAAGCGTGAAACGAGGCAACTCTTTATGGTCGCTCTTTTGCATAGTGGGAAGACTACGTCATGAAAGATGGCGAGAGCGGCTGTGCCTGGAAATCATACCTCTGCCAAGTTCCGGAATACATTAGCTTGGTGGACGAGACTTTTCGCAAAAAATCTGTTTTTTACGGTTATAATAAAACGAAAGAAAACGAAAAAAGCAAGTTTTTCAGAACCTACCGGCCGTCATGTCAGGATGTGAGCCGCAAAATTTTCGTAGCAGTTTATTGAAGTTCGGTTTAATGTGTCTTTGTTCTGCAAGAGCAACAGAGCGAATCATAGTTCTATGGAAGAAATTGCAAGAATGCAGATTATCGTTACCTGATGCAGAAGCTGTGCTTCAAAACGTGTGGGCTCTGTCGCTCTAATAAAGCGTGAGTAATTGTTTGCCAGTAGCCTTCAAAGTCACTGTCGCTAAAAGGCGAGTTTAGCTTCTCATTTACTTCTCTCTTTAATTTTCTAGTAATATTAGTTGTAAATATATACTCGACTAATATTTTTTGCATAAATGCTTATATCGCTCTGTTTTCTTCGTTAATGTATTAATGTACAACCCATAACCTTTTCTATGACTTTGTTAACAACAACATGGTTTAATTACATAAGTTTGAGGTTTGGAATAAACGTTTTGAACAAATTAAGTTCCCGCGTGGCAGGCATTATATTAACTCACAGGTTTACTGGCAATAAATCTGTGGGTATACTGAAGAAAAGAAGAACCAATTCCCTAATCTTTTCTTTACATGGTGCGTCGAGCCTCGTAAAAAACAGGTACTATTCAAATGCACTTGCTTACTAACCTAGCCACTAACCAAATTTCAGCCTAGGTAACTTAACCGATTAACATCACAATCAATCTAAACCGTCTAAACCATTGCTCTCAATCCAATCTCCTCTACATTAAATTGTCTTTTATCAAGCTCTACCAATAATAATAAAACAAAACATTTGGATTAAATATCCAATAAATTCAATAAAATATAAAGCTAGACGGGTAAAAAACCGGTTTAGCAAACTAAATAATAAAACGAATC